AGCAGAGACAGAGCTGTCAGCCAGAAACCCTTTCTCTGAGTGTCTGCAGTCAGTTCCTAAGACCCCCGACTACTCAGAATTATTTCTCTGAGTCATGTCTTTCCTAGTTAAGAACACAGGGGACACGAGAACTGCAAGCTAAAAGATTTGCTGTAAGAAATATACATTTGGAGGCATAACACTCAATCGTAATAAAGATAGTTTGGTTACCCCTTAATTTTTGCAATTTTTGCTTTGATTACATAACAACACTTTCTTCTCTGTCTCATTGTTAATGTACCACATTCCACAGGATGTCCTGACCATGCAGTGACTCACTGACCTTGAACATCTTGGTGCAACATGAGATACAGCAGGCCCGCCCGGATAGTCGTGGAGCTGGTGTCGGTTCCGGCTATAAAAAGGTCCAACAGGAGGGCGACCATAAACTCATCGTCAAAGGAAGAGTCGTCACTCCCTCTCTGACAGCAAAGAGACAGCAGGGAAAGATCGTTAATGGTCTAGTGGGAGGCAAAACAACCAATAGCATATGGACACTTACCACCAGATTCTTCAATACCTTCTACCCACAGGCAGTGTGATTGGCAAACACATTTGGCCATGCCCCTCGGCCCACACCTACACCATCTACCTCCTTATATTTTTATTAATTGCACATCTGCAGTCATTGTTTACATGTCTGCATTGTTTACATTCAAACTGCTGGCACAATGTCCAGTTTGGACCACCAGAAGCCGGATTTAGCTATTCTATCTTAATGAACTGCAGTCAGATTTCTCATGTCTCCTACTCAAGGTTTAACTAATGTAATGTGGTTAACCCCTATCAGGTTCATGATAATCAGTAATTGCTTATTATGTGTCGCCAGAACTTTTCTATCTAACCCACACTCCTTACTTTTCCCTAATTTTCTGCTAATCCCTGCTTCCTTACAAATGTCTGCGGTACCTTGTCTATCTCATCAAGGTAGCAGTCAATGAGGTCTCTTGGCTGTCCTGGGACACGCGTCTTCTTGTGTTCGGTCACCTTTGCCAAAGTCGAAGCTTCTAGATCACGCATGTTTTTGAAGGCCTTCTGGAAAGGCAGGGGCAAGCGCCTCACGAGTGGCATTGTGTCATAAATCTAGAATGAGAAGAGAACTCCTGATGCATTCATTCTATAGGACA